TTCTCGCGCGGCGCTGCTCGGAACACACAGAAGAAGCTCTCTCAAGCGTGAAGAAAAAAGCCAGAAAAATACGTTTCCGTTTTCATCCAACGTCGGTTCCCTTGATAGTAATATTGTATACGGACCTGAGAAGTCGACTGGCAGACACACATGAGAAATATATGTTCCTTCTGATTTCTGTGCGAGAGAGCTCTCAAGCTCATCTGCAGCTCGGTTTAAGTGAAACATTTTACCATCAGTTCGAAAAAAAAACGGTCGCATACGAATAGTTATGCGGACCTAGCTCGAGTAGCAGACTCTGGTCGGCTAGATGCTTCAGCCGAGCGCCCCTCATGATTCTAAATCGATTTCGGTGGTTACCAGCTCGCTAGCTCAACTACAGCTCGAGTGAAGTACAGAAAACCAACAGCGCCTGTAAAGAAAACTTCAGAAATACGAATAGTGTTGCGGACCTAGCTCGAGTAACAGACCGAGTTCAGACCCCTCGATGCCACAGACGGACGAACGCGCCTGGTGATACTAAATTGTTTTATGTGTGGATCAGCTCTGTAGCTCCTCTGAATCTTCAATTACGTACAGAAAACCGACAGCACTGGTCAAAAACATTCGAAGAATACAAATAGTTTTCAGGACCTAGCTCGAGTAGCAGACCGATTTCAGACCTCTGGATGCAACCAACGAACACGTCTGATGATTCTAAATCGGTTTATGCCAGTTCAAGCTCTGTAGCTTTCTTAAATCTCGAGTTAAATACAGAAAACCGTGGACGCGTGTCAAGATGACTCGGAACAGAGTCGGTTCCCTCGAGTGCTTTGGTAGTAATATTGCAGCTACGGACCTGAGAATTGAACTGGCAGACGCGGCATAACCCACTACACGTGAGAAAAATCTGGTTCCTCACAATGAATGGTCAAATATCTTTCGAATCTTAGCAGAATAAACCCCAGGTCACCACATTGTCTCTTAAGGTCGGGTCTGCTAACTTGGAACCAGCGGTAAACCGTCAGCCAGGTTACCGCGGGGGCCCTCGTAGAGCTCTCTTCTCGCACGGCGCTGCTCGGTACACATAAAGGAAGCGTCCGGAGCAAGACCCGACAAAACTCGAAACATCACGTTTTTATGGTTTTATCCAAAGTCGGTTCCGCCAAGTGCTTTGATAGTAAAACTGCACCTACGGACCTGCGAATTTGACTGGCAGGCGCGGCATAACCCACTACAGGTGCGAAAAATCTGGTTTCGCAAAATGAATGGTCAACTATCTCTCAAATCTTAGCAAAACCGACCCAAAGTCACCACATTGTCCTTTCTGGCCGCGTCGATCAACTAGCTCCACCCCGCGCCGGAATTCTTCTTGCTCATCGATGACGAAGAGCTCTACGAGGTATTCGAAGCCGGACGCTGGTGGTGCCTGCCAGGAGCTCCTCCACGGCGGTCCACGTCCGCCGCAGCGACTCGCCCGTCCCGGCAGCGGGTCCGAAGCAAGGCAGGAGGGCTTCAGGAGGGTTCGACAGAGCTCTGCAGGTGCTTCAGGAGGGTTTGACAGAGCTCTACAGACAAGCTCTTGAGTATGAGTGCCTCTTCGCTCTCCGGGTTTTGGACGCTACCAAGTTCCCGGAGAGCTCTCTGAGAGCTAGAGGGTTTTAGACTAGAAGCCGGACGGAAGTGGTGCCCGCCAGGAGCTCCTCCACGGCGGTGCACGTCCGCCGCAGCAGTTCGCCCGAGCCGGCAGCTGGTTGGGGGGCGCTTCCAGCGCGCGTCCACGTGTGCCTGCGCGCGCGCGGGCACGCATGGAAGCGTTCCTGGCAGCGCTTCAGAAGCGCTGCAGGGTGGCCCCCCAGAGCTCTCTAGAAAAGATTTTCCTGCCCCCGAGGCTCTCTTCGCTCTCCAGATTTTGGAAGCTACCAACTGGACCACCCAGCTCGGGCGGACAAAGTAGCTCATAGAGCTTTTCGCATCGATGAGCTAGAGGATTTCCGGCGCAGGATGGCTAGTACCTCGTAGAGCTCTTCAGCATCGATGAGCTAGAGGAATACCTCGTAGAGCTCTTCGTTATCGATGAGCTAGAGGAATTCCGGCGCGGGGTGGAGCAAGTTGGTCGTCCCGACGAGAAGAGACAATGTGATAACTTTGGGTCGGTCTTTCTAAGATTTCATATATATATATGACAATTTATTCCCGGATAGCTCTTGGAGCTAAAGAGGGTTTCAGAGAAGAAGCCGGGGGTGGGTGGTGAGTAGGCCACGCCAACGTCTGCCGCTCCACGATTCTTCCATCGACTTGCCGGAGGTTGCAGCGTGTCTCGTAGGCGCTTCCCAATGCGCTGGGGGCAAGCGTTGGCAAGCGCCCTAGGCAGCGCTGGCCAGCGTTGCTTGGGCGCCTAGGCAGCGCCGCCAAGCGTTGCTTGGGCTCCTGGGCAGCGCCCCCAAGCATCGCTTGGGTTCCTAGGCAGCGCCGCCAAGCGTCGCTTGGGCGCCCCAGGCAGTGTTGCTTGACCGCCTAG